GGAAGGAAGGAAGCCATGGTGGTGGGGTGGCTAGAGCGTCATATTGCAGGCTGACTGCCCACAGCCAGGAAGTTCGATCCTGACCACCTCAAGGTGGACTCAGCCTTCCGTCCTTCCGCGGTCGGTAAAATGACGACCCAGATGGTTGAGGGGGACAAGATGCCGGCTCTACACCGCTTAGAAAGGGCCGCAAAGCCCCGTGAAGCGGTGTGTAAGTCTTGAGGGCTATTGCTATGGGTATCTTCAGGACTGGATGGTCTCTTTGAGGTTCCTCAAGCGAGGCACCTTCACCAGGGACAACGGAGATCTTCGTTTGCACGGATAGTTGCCTCTGTCACCCAGCTGGGGGGCTTAAATGCCAGCGCTGGATCTTACTTCTGGGACCCCTACACACACACACACCTTCCTCAAGGTATTAAGAACAACTCTGGAGCGAGGAAAGTTGAGGTGGAGTTACAAGGGGGAGGTAAAGTTTCTCCTTGTGTGGTTTGATGGAAACCAGAACTACCCGACACCCCAAATGGTACACACACACACACACACACACACACACACACAACCTTCAGCTGCCACCTTCTGCAAATTGGTGGCCTTGGTCTTCCCAACCCCCCCAAGGATCAAATGCTCAGAGCACAGGCCAAGACCACCACGGAGTACCCCAACCCTCTCTGCTTCTGGTGGTCCTACATCCAGGGTCTTTAGGGGGGGGTCAGAGGTGGGATTCAGCCGGTCCAGACCAGTTCTGGAAAATTAATTTAAACCCAGATGTCCTTTTGGGGCTGGAAGGAACTGGTGTGCCAAGGAACCTGTGCTGGGAAACCTTGCTTTTTGGCTCGGTGAACCTGTCAGAAGACTTTGATCAAAGTTGGCATAAAGGAGATTTTTAAAGAACTGCCAGAGAACAGCGAGGGGAAGAGACCTTGGAGGTCTTCTAGTCCAACCCACAAGTGGGATTCAGCCGGTTCTCAAGAACCCGGAGCAGATATTTGGTGTAGTTTGTAGAACCTGCCATGCCCACCGAGCCACGCCCACAGAATGCCACGCCCACCAAACCACACCCATAGCTGATCGGCTGGGTCTCCTTGGGTTGCCCTACCCAGGAGAACGGAGCTGGAAAGCAGGTCAGCGGGGTGGGGAGGGAAGGGGGATGTTGCAGTATCCTTCCCCTGCCACGCCCATCAAGCCACGCCCACAGAACACCACACCTATCAAGCCACGCCCACAGAATACCACGCCCACCAAGCCACACCCATAGCTGATCGGCTGGGTCTCCTTGGGTTGCCCTACCCAGGAGAACGGAGCTGGAAAGCAGGTCAGTGGGGTGGGGAGGGAAGGGGGATTTTGAAGTGTATCCTTCCCCTGCCACGCCCACCAAGCCACGCCCACAGAACCGGAAGTAAACATGTTTGAATCCCACCACTGCTGGTGTGTGTGTGTCTCTCTTTGCGTCCTGGCCCCTTAAAACCAGGGATGAGAAACCCAAGGCCCGTCAGCTGGGTGGCCCCCCCCTCCCAAGACCACTGGTTGTGGGTCCCCCCCCCAAGGAAACCCCCCACCCTCCAATCCCAGTATCCCCCAAATCAGCGGCAGAGTTTTCCTCCCCCCCACCCACGTGAAACGACGCCTCCAACAAAAACACTAAAAGCAAAAAATCTACCAAAATTCAGGAGCAAAGAGCCCGAAGCCCCCCCTCTCTTTTTTTTTCTTCCTCCAATGTGTTTCTCCTCCCCCCACCCCGGGGCCCCATCCAAGTTTGCTCAAACAGAAACAATCCTCAGCTTCATGGAAGGGACCTTGGAGGTCATCTAGTCCAGCCCCTCCAAACGCCTTCGGGCCATCCTGGAAATGGATGCTAAGAAAATTCTCCTTGTGTGTGTGTGTGTGTGTGTGTGTGTGTTTTCCCCACGGAGGGAGGGGCTGCTAAAGGCCTCCTTGAGATGGTTCGTAGCCTTCCTGCCGAGCCAGGAATGAGGAGGGGGCAACTGCAGTGGGGACGGGACCGTCGGTGGAGAAATACCGGAGTCTTGCGGACTTCAAACCCATCCCGTTTCTCAGTTTGCCTCTGCCGCAAATTCTGGGTTTTTTTTTTTTTTCCTATCTCTTTATTAACCCGGTCCAAGTTGGCATTTCCCCGTGGTTCCCTTTCCAGGTCCGAACTGGCTCAGCTGCTTGAATCAGGACCGATCCAGGAGAATCTTTTTACTCAGGGTTGAATTGTGGGGTCCTTGGTGCTTCTCTGAGCTGGGTGGTTTCCTTGCAGACGTTTCGTGACCCAACTAGGGAACATCCTCAGGGAAGGAAGGAAGGAAGGAAGGAAGGAAGGAAGGAAGGAAGGAAGGA